TCAGGAGGATAAGTGGACTGGGCAGCTGTTGCGGAATTGTCCACCGTGGTAGACATGCCCATGGTGGTTAGCCCGAGGGTTGACATGCCTGTACTGGTTGCAGTGGCGGGGGGGGGCCGTAGTGGTGGGTGTAGGTGAGGTCGGAGTTGGGGAGGTTTTGTCCAGCGCAGTACTCCGAATAGCAGCCGAGGTGGTGTAAGATGGTGAGCTTCTTGCAGGAGTGGAGGAGGATGTTTCTGCAAGGACCGTGGTGGAAGAGCCTGTTGTCCCCGTAGCTGTGGTGGTGGCAAGAGCAGCAGTGGATGTACCTGGGTGGCTGGAAGGGACAGCAGTGTTCGTTGTAGCAGCTGGGCTCGATGTTTCTGCACTGGTGGAGGGGAGTGTGGAGGTTTTCTCTAGAACAGTCATTTCCATTGCAGTGGCTGCGGATTTAGGTGTGGTCTCAGGAGGAGCAGTGGACTGGGCAGCCATTGTGGAAATGTCCACCATGGTGGATGCACCCTCAGTTCTTGCTTCCAGGACTGAAATGCCTGTCCTGGTAGCAATAGTGCTTGTTGCCAGACTAGAGGTGGTTGTAGGTGAGGTCAGAGTTGGGGAAGTATTGACCAGAGCCATGCTCTGAGTAACGGCCAAGGTGGTGTAAGAGGTTGAGCCTGTCACATGAGCAGAGGAGGTTGTTTGTGCCAGGACTGTGCTGGTAGATCCTCTTTTCACTTTAGCTGTCGTGGTGGCAACGGTAGCAGTGAATGTTCCTGTGTGGCTGGAAGTGACGGCAGTGGTTGTGGCAGCAGCAGGGCTGGGTGTTTCTGTATTGGTTGAGTGAAGTGTGAAGGTTGTCTCCAGAGTAGACTTTTGTGGTGTGGTGGCTGTGGATTTTGGTGTGGTCTCAGGAGTGTAAGTGGACTGGGCAGCTGTTGTGGAAGTTTCCGCCCTGGTGGAGATGCCCAAGGTGGTTAGCTCAAGGGTTGAAATGCCTGTACTGGTAGCAGTGGTGGTGGATGCCAGAGTAGAGGTGGGTGTAGGTGAGGTCTGATCTGGGGCAATCTTGTCCAGCGCAGTGCTCCAAGTAACAGCCGAGGTGGTGGCAGATGGTGATCTTGTCATAGGAGCAGAGGAGGGTGTTTCTGCAAGGACTGCGGTCGAAGAGCCAGTTGTCCCCTTTACTGTGGTGGTGATAACAACAGCAGTGGATTTTCCTGTGTCGCTGGATGTTTTAGGAGTGGTCATTTCAACTGCTGTTCCTGTATTGGCAGAAATGAATTTTTTTTCCAGAATTTAATATTGTTACTCTTTTAAGTGCCTTTAATATAGCACACTTGGTGGTCTTTGTGTGTAAGAATTATTTGATAAATGAGCAATTGTAAGGGTTTTTTGTAGTTTTACAAAATTTTGTTTGCTTATTTTTTGTCTTTTTTTTTAAATATTTTCTGAATACTTCATTTTTTTCTTCAATCAGCAAAGGGTTAAAGGAGGAACCATTCTTATGTCTGAGCCTGTGCTTCAGAAAGGGATCACTGTAGCTTTGCCACTTGAACAGTACAATTATATCGAAATACACACGACATGTTTCTCTATATGTTCAAATTCATAGATATGTACAGCTGAAATTTCTCTAAGGACACCTTTGGAGAAGAAGAGTAGAACTAGAATGTCATTTTCATTTGAACATGTACTTCCTATCTTACTTGGAGGTTGAATTTCATCTACTGGAATTTAGAACTCTAATTCCTTTTTTAGAAACATTTAAATTGCAGTGTGCCTTCCAAAATATTTGGAGAATTTCCTGAGTTTTATAATTTTATAATGTATCTTCCAAAGCAATCACGAAAAAATGCACTTAAGGCAGAGGACTGTGAATTGTGACATTTAAAACACAATCTTAATTTACAGCTAAACATTAATTGCATTTTTTAACTCAAATTTGCCTCCTGTTGAACACGAATCTCTGAGGTTTTCCTCTATACCCCAGGTCATTTCTTCTTTTAGAACAGTGTTACATCAAGCATTGGTAAACACTTGATTAAATGCTTTGTGTAACGGGAAGGTTTTTTGGCCCTTTGGCTAAAGCTCTTGTCAAAAAAGGAGATGAGATTGGATCGTTCAGAACAATCTGTTCTTTCTTAACACTCCATTATTTTATATGGCCTTGTTAATTTTTAGTAGTGAGTTCCACTGTTCTTATTACAGGCAAGATAGTTAGATGAGAATTCTCAAAAAAACAAATTTATTCCCTTCCAAGGAGAAATCATGTTCCTACCTGTTCCTATTTTTTTTTGGCCTCCGCAGTTTTCCATAAGCCATGGAAAAGGGAGTCAAAGACTGACTGTTCAGCAATTGCTAGAATAGCTTCTTGAGAACTCTGAAGTATTTCAAGATTTTTAATATATTTTACTGAGGGACATAATGTTAAGTGATCTCTATTATTCTCAGATTTCAAAACAGTAGTAGATACCCAACAAATCAGTAAAGGGGTCAACAAAAAAACCCTCTTTAAAAAGTCCATCTCTCTTCAAGCTGCTTTTTACGTAACAATTTATATTAATAGCATAATTTTTTTTCAGGTTTTCAGAAATGGCAGCACCTGCAAGATCTGCTATTCATCCATATCTACTTCATTGATCTACATTCATTCATCTACAACACAATACCTGTGTGCTTGTCAGCCTAAAAGAATTACCCTCTTCCCTGGAAGGATACACAAATGTTCAAAATCATCTAGACTGTATGTTTCTAAGGAGGGGCTGATTCTACTAATAATTCTTTACAGGAATCACACTCCATGCCACCATGGTTTCTCCCCCGTCAGGTTGGTTGTGTCACCTCGAAAGATTCTCTTCTTGTGAGGCATACCAGCTTGGTTAGGTAATACTTGTGCTTGACACCCACCAGGAAACTCATGGGTGTAATGTTCTGCCTCAGTTAGTGCCGTTACAGAAAGGATGGGGAAAGTAAGAGGTATTTGGACCAAGCTATTTGAAATGCACGGAATCACTGTCATATCCTAACATCCTAGCAAACAACTTATTTGTTGTCACAATACACTAGATGGAGAACTGAAGAGAAGAATTTGTGTGGACTTTTGCATGCAGATATTTGTTCTGCTTGTCTGCTGGAAGACCTGAGCTTGCTCTGCACCCACCTGGAGCCATTTGGCTGTGAGCCACCTCCAGTCTGGAGGCTGTATTGCCACATTAACATGCTGTGCAAAGCAAACTACTGAATACTCCTTCTTAGCATGACTTGTTAGCTATGATCCAGCGCTAAGCAAAACAGCTCTATTCTTTATACACAAAAATAACGCCATGCCCCTTCCCTGTTCCTTTGTCTTTGTTGTCTTTCTAGATTCCAAACTCATTCAAGTGAGGCTCTAGCATTTTTGTGCATGAGAGGGCTTTGGGAGGCTGCAGAATATTAAAAATAACAAACATGGTAACACTAATGCTTGCAATAAAATAAAGCCTTGAAAGTTCAGAGGCAAGAGTCAATGAAAGCACATTTCTCATCAGAAGAAAGGGTGCAGAACTGTATAAGCATCATATATATATAGAATATCTTTTTTCTAAAATGTGTGATACTGGGATCCCTATAACTTGGGTTGTTTCTGTATCTACACTAAAAAAATTGGAAAATTCTGCCTTTTTTTCTGTACTATCTGGGGGTTTTAATCCATTCCTGCCAATGTGTAATAGATTTGCTATGTTTTTTCAGAATACCAAAGGAAGGGACCAAACACAATGAACTAGTTTTGTCTTGTATCTTCATTTGGTACATTTGGTACACATTTCATCCGTCCCTTGGTATCGGTATCTTTACAATGTTCCTGTAACGTAGAACAATGTTTGCTCTCTGTACAATGGGAGGTATGATTTGCTTTCAAGCTATGCAAGCAGCTCCTGGCATAGAGGTCCGGCGATTCACAGAGGCTAACCTCTCTATATGCCAGACAAGAACCACGTGTTTGTCTAACAGTAACTGGATATATTCATATTTAAGTTGTAATTTTGCGTACATTGAAATGTTGAGATTGAACTGCAAACTATAGAACCAAGGACATGATTACCTGTCCTAACGGAGTAGTATTCACAAAGAATTCACCAAATTACGGAGGTTTCATCACAGCAGGCATATTGCAATGCACCATGAATTTCCTGATCCTAGTTAGAAATTTGTGGGGCACTAGAGCAATGGTTTTCATACTGTAAATCAAAGCTAGAGTTTTTTTGCGATGCGGTGGCAAAAGGCAAATATTTCCACATCAATTGGCAAAATGCTACTCGTTTAAAATCTGGCTGTGGGCTGAAATCCTTGTGCAGGTTTCTATACACCAGCTAAGATGAAAACAACAAAAAGGCTACTGGGAGAGATCTATATTAACACAAGTTTTGTATTGTGCAAGTTTTTGGGAGCCCGTATCATCTAAAGCAATGTTTAGCTCCTGTGTTTCCCCTCTAATTCAGAATTAAAACAGCCTTAATTGCCTTTATTTTAAAACTAATATCAGTTAAGCCACTGGTTATGTAAACAAAGGGATTTTGAATGTTTTTACCTATGCATTTGAAACTTCTTCTCCATTAATTTTACTTAATTCTCCTTCCGTGCTTGGACAGCTCTGTTAAGTCCCAGTGACTTAAACTCCTAAATGTCTTATTTATTTTAGAAAAATGAGATTTATACTCCTTTGAGTAACCACTGCCACAAAACTGCTTTTCCATATAGAAATCAAGTAATTCAAACTTGAATTTAAAAAAAATCCAGAATTTTTAGATTATTAAATGCCTACTAGATTTTAAATTCAGAGCCACTTACAAAGTTAATTTTCATTTTTTAAGAAATATCGTTTCAGTGACTTGAACATTCCACAGCCTCAGACCTATGTAATTTTGTAGCCATTGAAAATGTCATTATTGATTTTCAGATATCACTTTTTCATGGGTAAAAAATACACAACTTGAAGGGATTATAAAAGTTTCAAAATATTTCTAGCTTGATTGTTTTCTAGAAATGTTTATGCTCTGGACTTTTTTTTCCTCTTTTTATGAATTAAAAACTGAGGATTGTACATAAGCAGTTATGAAGTAAATATTAACATTTCACTCATTCTTTTAATAAAACATAAGAAATTAACTTTGGTTGCTAAAACAAATGTAACGGTTTATATTCTGGCTTTTGCTAACTGAAATTAGATGAGCTCAGCTTTTGTTATTACCACCCCATTTATATCCACTAAAGCTGGAAAACCATATGTCTTCCTCCCTGTTATTTTCTCCTTTTTGATGAAAACTTGAGTAAATATGAGTGCTAAAAAATAACAAGGCAATGAGCAAGATAAGTATGCCACTCAAAGGTATATAGCAAAGGGTTTTTAACTTGTACCACAAGGTAAACTCTGAATAAATTTAGTCAACAGTATGGTTGAAGTACTTACACAGATACACATAAAATGTTATCTTTGGTTATAATTTTTAGTGGTAGTAATTTCATTTGAAAAATATGTAAACCTTTACAGAATATACTGACAAAATTTTTCTTTCAAAGTAGCAAATAAATTAAACTTACCTGAAAAGCAGCATAATGCTATGATAACATACATAAACTCCTGCTTATATCGAGATAAATTTGTTGTCCAATCCATCTTTTTTCTTACAAGATTGTAGTTTTACCAGCTGAGTCCAAAATTCCCTTCAGTATCTACTGTGCTCTTGGTAACACGGAAATAACTCTCACAACCAAGTGAAAAAGATGAGTCTGACGGTCAAGGTGAAATGCTCTTAAAGTGAAGCACCTTGCATAATGCCAGCACTTTGAGGGTTTGGTAAGTGACACACCTGCTTGTACCTTACAGCCCAAGGATTTTAAAATTAGAATATGGTACTTTCCCTCTAGGTAAGGTAAATAAGAAACTTGTTGCTTGAATAGGTCAGTGTGCGTTAATCTGAGCATGAAATGATCAGGAATGGGGACTAATCTACACCCTTAAGGCCACAGCCACACACTCATGTCTTAGATATTTAAGTTCAGGGTGGGCACATAACAGAAAGGAAGACAGTAGTGTTGCTGAGTTTTACGCTTCAGTATTCCAACTTTTTAATGGGTAAAGAGAAAATATTTTCTGATGCTATTTTGTGAATTTCTGTATACTAACAAAGGCCCATGTTAATTGTTAAGAAAAAACTCATCAGCCTCGTCCTTCCTAGCTGAATCATACAAATTCTTTGGGGACAAGGTTATATCCTACTCCCATAAATGCAAGCAGTCAGCTTTGCTTAGTCTCAGTGGTCCCCTGGAATATCTTCCCTTGTGGCTAAATGAGAGAATGGACAAAAGGATTCGGGGGAACACACAAAAGTAGACACACAGATAAAATGGCAAAATTCAGCAACTTCACATGCTGCTATTGCTAGACAGCTGGAGTAGTAGATAACAGTGTAGTTTAAGGAAGAAGGACTACCACATCCATGAATTTAGATGATAATTAAAAGCTTTTCAGCTATTTCGGGCCATCGCCAATACTGAATGAGTTTGATGCTTTGTGCCTCTTGAATTCTTTATCATGATTAATCTAAAACAGATATGAAAATCTACAGGTGTAAATTACACCACAATTCTGTTTGGCTTTGGGTTCCCTTACACATGAAGTCCTGTCCTTGTTTGCTTTCCAGAATCCCATTTCCCTTTCCTCTCGCACTTCTTCCAAACCTGAAATTCCTTGTTCAAGATGGGCACAGGAAAAAACAAACTACCTTATCTGTATTTTCTGTTAGATTGTAGTTAACAGTTCCCACTAAACCATGTCTTTTGACTAGGGAAAGGGCCAACACCTTTTTAGTGCCTGCTTCCTGATGGAGAATCAACTCAGCTCTAGGTTTAGAGGTCAATTTTCAAAAGTAACTAGCAAGGCCTGTAGAAAAGTAGATATTTGCCTGTATGACCTAGAAAGTCTTCAGCATATAATTTAATCAGCTGGTTTATGAGTATTAGGGAAATGCTTGGTTTGATTGTACTGAAAAATAATGTTATTTGCTGTGTTGTAGAACTTGCAGGGTACAATTCTGCTTTGAATATCCAAGGTTTTTCTGTAAATGCTTGAGATAGTTTACATTAAAAATGCCTTTTTCACAGGTGAAGAACTAGTAAACACTGGCTAATATATTCATGACAAAACTAAAGTGAATTCAGTTTTCCTACTTGAATAATTAAATAGTTCTTAGAAGCTTGCATTTGTTCACATAAATGTTCTTTCTCTGTAAACTGCAATTTCCATTTTTTCATGTAATACAAAGACACTCTCGATTGCTTGGTTTGCCATGGTTGGGTAACAAAAAGATTAAAAGTTCCTCCCAAAGGTTCTGAAACTACAGCAAGCACATATGTCATGGTCTGAGGGACTGACGTGTGTGTGTTCTTGCCTGGTTGTGCAAGCAGTTAGGTAAGTTGAACGCACATCCTTGACCTTTCTTCAAGTGTTAGTAAGGGAGAAAAAATTTGCTATTCACAATTCATTTCTGCTTGTTTAGCCACTGTCTTTAACATGATATTTCTTTTGCTTTATGCATTAAAAATGTTAAAAAATTGGAGGGAGGCGGAATCCTCCCAGCTTATTGTAGAGTCATTTGGAAAGAGAGGTGTAGTATTAAAAAACATGGAGGTAAATCAAATTGAAACAAAGGAGCTTTGGATAGAATTCTGAGAATCTTAAAGGTGTATGCAAAAAGGTACAGACCCCTGTTTTCCCTTTGAATTTTAAGTACAAATAGCTGGTAGAGTCTGCTTATTGTTTTAGTCCACTGAGTGTCTAAATCCTAGATGGGAGAGCCACACAGATACATACACCAAGAGGCAGGCCTGATACTATTAAAAGGTAATAGAAATTGCAGGCAAAATCTACTCATAGAAATAGATCTTGGCGCAAATATCTTTGTGATATAAAGGCAATATTCACTACATGGGATGAGAAGAGATCCCTTACAAAAAAAATTGTTATTTTTATGATGTCCCTCTAGTAATGTTTTTATAAGCCAGCATTATTTCCCTTTAAGCAGCAGTCAGGTGTTTGTACCTGCCTGGTAGGAACACCTAGTTTCGTACACTCCTTATTTTGCACATGTAAATGAAAGTGAAGGGAAAGGCCTGACTAGTTTAGAAAGAATGCAGCACCTTCAGAAAGGCTGTTGATAATTTCCTTTTTAAGCCTGCCATTTTAACCAGGAATGAACTTTCTTAGGAGAATTTCAGTTCTGAAACAGGAATAATTCTTGCACTTCTGGTGTGGGAAAGGAAACCTTAGTGGCAAATCAGAGTACTTTTCTAAACAGGTTGAAAAGCAATTCATAATAAATTTCATTCTTTGACTGTCCTGTGTTAATGAATACTCACTGTAGTAAACTATGATTGATTTATCAGGTTTTACCAGTCTGTTTTGTAACTGAATACTTCCTTCTGCTGGTATCAGCGAAGAACTGCATTTTGAACACAAACCAGGTAACTGCTGTGGAAGTGATTTCCCCTATTTCCATACTATTTTATTTTCACTTACTTCTGGATTAGGGCATCATTTAATTTTTTTGCTATTGTCTGAGCAGATATCCTCTCAACAGCTCCTTTGCCAAGCTTACCCTGCACGCAAAACCCAACTCTGACACAGGTAACTGCCTAAAAGCAGTAAGACAACATAGCGCATTGTTGATGGACTATCAAGTTAAAAGGGCAAATATAGTAGAGAATTTGGACAATTTTTCCTGTGAGTGAATGCTCAAAGAAAAACCTCTCTACTGCTGAAGGCATCAATCTGCAGCCAAGTCGCTAACTCTGCCTGCAGCCCAAACTCATGCCCTGAAGGCCTGAGTGACCGGAGCTTTCCTTGACGTCTGCACAGGGGGGAATGCTGCATCTGCAATGGCGAATAAATAACTCCACAGCACAAAAAAGAGTTTCTAAGGAGTAAGCAGACATATATAATGCTGTGTCACACAGGAAGAGCTTACAGAAAATAATGCAAATATCTCCCTAGCTAAGGGATATTAGTGTGTTTCAGATGACAGTGGGGGAGGAGAGAAAAAAATCTCTGAAAGAAGATTATCTGACCCAAAATGAACTGTTTCAAACAAATAAATGAGAGAAAGGAAAAAGCTGATCACTCTTACCTAACAAATCTGTAAAAACCTCTTACCTGCAGCGATGGTGCGTAACCATGCCATGCCAGCTATCCCTGTGGTGGCCATGGAGGTCTGTGTCCCACCACAGGCAGCCTTCTTGGAGCAAGCAAGGCTGGGCAGCCCTGTGGGGCCAAGGACTGAGGGGCTCCCTCTGGGCCCCCCTGTGCTCCCCACGCCAGGTGCTGTGAGATCTGCCAGAGCCAAAATGGCAGCTGTGGAAGGGCCCCCCGTGCTGCTCCTGTCAGCCGGAGGCACAGCGGGGTCAGATGTATGGTGGAGACCCGAGTCTGTGGCACTTAAGGAGCTGTCTAGGGCTGTTGGGGGTGAGCGGCCTTCAGCAATGGGGGCTGTCTGGGGGGAAGTCCATGGCGAGTTCGTGCCTTCACCCTTGTAGATGGGGGACAGTGATGTGTCTGCTGTTTGTGTTATGGTGGGCTTTGGGGTGTGGGTCGAGGGCTCCGTGGGTGCCGCGGTGGTGTTGGTGGGTCGGTGGCCCACTTCATCTGCCGCGCCTCGCCTGAGGAGATGTGGCCCAGGCAAAACTCCATCTTCCGGGGTTGCTTTTCTGCTTGTACTCGGGCCGCGGTTCTCACCCGAAGCTGTCGCTAGTCCCAGCGCTGTGGGTTCGGCCTCTCGCGGCGTTCCTCCCTTTGCCGCTGGTTCGTCTGTGCCGTGCACCACGCTGCCTGCACCTGCTGACGAAATAAGCAGGTCTCAATACTTACCAAAAATTAAGAAATGCATCTTTTGAGGATAAGATTTTTCTTAGTCTTTTTTTCAAACCCCTTTTTTTTCTGTGAGATTTAAGTGTGCTTTTTATTCTTTTGATATCTATTTTCTTTTTTGAACCAGGACTCCTGACCTGTCTACTCCAAACCGAGCCACCGCACACAGCGGAGCCAAGACTCTTCCAGCCAGGGACCTACAACCCCTCTTTGCTCAAGCAATCCTCCAGGACGCAGAGTGGGCGGCACAGTGGGTTCTGCATGCAAGACCCTTGGCAGAGGGAGCATTTCTAATAATAATTCCAGTATTTTAACTTTCCCTGCTTTAAAACTCTTGTAAAACATTTCTCTTTTTTTTGTTTTCAATCTAAATTTCCACCTCATGGTTGTTGCTTTTGTTATCTAATTCTAGCAATTTAAGATTCCAGGTGTTGGTAGAACATTTATTTGAGGGCACTTTGGGTTTTTTGGGTTTTAAGGTTTCCTTTAACAGTCAATTGATACATACCAGTCTTAATAAGGAACCCTCTGGACTTCTGCAGCAGTTTTACAGAGCATCTGTAAATGACGCAATGAATATTGAAACCTTTTTTTTCTAGAAGTTTCTTCTTATACCACAAATTAGGTTTGTATTCTTAGACTCAACTGCAATTTTTCCAGTTAGTGCTTGCAGTGTGCTGAACTGGATTAGGATAGGTTATGTGTGCAGAAATTGCTAACACATGTTCTTTCTTGTGCTGAACTCTCAGATATAGGGTATTTGCAGTTTGGGGTAAAAAAGTCACTGAAGATGCTGGACGTAGGTTTTCTGTTTACCCAAATAATGGAATTTGGGCACAATCCCATCAAGCATTAAAAAATCTCTCACTGAATTGTTACTAGAACTTATTGCTACCCAAACCAAGTATATTTAAGTATCCTTCCTTTTGGTATCCGGAGGGGAAAATAGTAAGAACAATTTCAAATTGCAAAAGATGCAGCTTTGATCAAGTGCATAAGTGACTGTATTGGTCACCATTTGTTCAAATTCCTTCGCAGTCCCCATCTACAGCTGGTTAACAACATGCAGTAAACCTTACCTCTTATCACAGGGCATATGCCACAGGCTGCTCAAGTTTTAACTATTTTGGACTTTTTTTCTCTCTCCTCTTCATTCCCAGAATAATACACAATTACTAGAAAGTATCTCAATTATGTTCTATGTTGAATTCATGCCTCTGCACTGTATGCACTTGTTAGGTATAGAATCATAGAATTATTTCTGTTAGAAAAGACCTTTAAGATCATCGAGTCCAACTGTAAACCTAACACTGCCAAACATTTTCCAGGAAATGTTTTAATATGCTTTGCTAGTACTAGTCCTAGCTTAAATATAGTTAGACTCAGATACATAGATTTGACATACAGATACACATTAATAATGCCCTTTAAAAAATCTTCCCCCGTCATTATAAAAGCTTACAATTTCCCTAGAACATTCTATGAAATAATCAACACAAGGTGCCTCCTACCTGTTGCGCATATGTTGAAATAAAATGCCAAGACTATGAATATATTTTGTATAAAATATTGCATAGAGCAACATTTCCAAGTCATTTTGTTGCCTTGAGACTACTTGTCCAAACGAGAGACTGCTTCAGGCTCCTCGAAACTCTGCTACCTCTGCAAGCAAATTCCAAATGTTATGGAAGTAACTCAGGTAATGCAAGCATGTTGCTCTGTTAGCTGAGCAGCTGACACACCTTAAAGTCCTGCTTAGTTTAAGAAGCTGTTGTTATCTGGGCAAGACGACTGTGGACCCAATGTGTTGATTTATAGTTACAAAAATGCAGTTATGTTTGTGTGTCCATCTAAAACTTTCATGAGGACCCATGTCACCTAGCTAAGCTTTTGTATGCAAAAATGGATTTGTGGCAACATTAATGAAAAAGCATTTGGATTTAAAAAAAAAAAAAAAGAATGGGTTTATTGGGCTGAAGTTTACTCATCAAGTTGGGAACAAGGGAGGTCCCCAAAAGCAACATTACCATTATTGACCATAAGAAAATGTGTTGATGACACATAAGTGCCTAGACTGTGAAAGGGGAGACAGGCACTAAGGGGGTCCCTTACCCCCCAACTGTCTCACAGAGCAAATGGAGAAGATTAGGGTTTGTAGGAGCAATTCCTCACTCCACCTTTTGCTCAAATAGCTAGTTAAGAAAGTCACTTCTGTGTGGTTTTGGGATTACCAAAACAAGCTTAAACAGTGCCCTGTCTTCAGGCAGAAATGTGCTAACCCTGTGCTCCTAGAAGAGATGAGATGCACAGTGCCTCTTCTTCTGCTCCTATACTGCCAATAGTATTGAGAATACTGTCCCACAGATATGAGCCACATTGCCTCCTGATTTCCAGCGTTGCAAGGAACCTAATGGACGGTAACTATCCCTCTGCCGTTGTTTCAGGTGATGTTCAGGTACCCAGAGAGCTGAATATCCTAGCAGCGGATGGGAGACATTCAAAAGTGTCCTTTGGGGACCAGAATGAGATCAGTGATCTCATTTCATACCAAAGCGATACCACTAACAGCATACCTTAAACCTGATCAAGTCCCTGCTGTCCTAATGAGGCAATGGTTTTGCGAAGGCAGCTTTCTTAGAGAGATGAAATAAAATTATAATCTGGAAAATACTGTGTTTGTTTCCAGAATGAAAAACGCATCTCGTAAGTTAGTATTATATTTACTGTTTGGCATGGGGACAGTTTGACAGTTGTTGTCTGGAGATTGTTTAGTAACGGTCCGGTCTGTTTTCTGTGCAAGGCCTGTGTTTGCTTCTGTGTCCTTGTTGCGTGCGTGTCCTGCTAAGTCAAACCAAACAGGGTCTCTCGTTGCACATCATGTGGGCCACTAGAGGCCATCCTATACCTCATAAAATAAAGTAGCAAAGCATATGGGAATAAAGGATAACAGCAAGGAATCATAAAACATTAATTAAAGTCTAGATACTTTTAAAGCAAACCAAGCAGTTTGTTTCAGGAGAGGTGGTTCTTTGCTTACACCCTTATGAGTTTAGTGTGTTTTTTCCTGAAGTATTTGCTACTGATGGAGCAAGGGTGCTGCACTGCACTAGATTATGCTCCCATTAGCAATATAAATTCAATGGTCTTCTAGTTACCCATGGTATTGCTGCAGTTTCATAGCGGGGTATTTAAAACCTTTCCCATCTGACTATGCTATTCTGTCTTTCTGTTTAACTGCAGATTAAGTTCTGTATTGGATCTATTTTTTCTTGTAGATGCTGCCAAAGGGTAAAGACTAAGGTTATACAGAGGACCCTGGGGCGTGAAGGAGGCAAAGGAAAAGCTAACAAGGTAGAGTCCTTCCATGTCTTCCCTCCTAGCAACATGTAAAACACAAAAGCCTTTGTAGTAGGAGTGGAGGGAGAGGTCAGCCCTTGTCACCATGCAGCAATAAAACACAAGGTATTTGGGCTTTGTTGGAGCAATTCAGAATGAAAGGGGCAAACATTTACCATAAGGAAAAAGCAACAAGGAACCTAAGCTCAATCAACTGAGTTGGACTTCATAATGAAGTCTTTTGATAGCATTTTACATCTAGTTTTTACAGGCTTAACTGAAAACTCAGGGGACCCTGCAAACCCCATGTTTCCTTTTGAAACCAAAGCTTGGTTCTTTTTTTCCCGGATGCACGGCTGGCATAATGGCAGATGCACGTAGGCTAGGGACGGAGCAAAGCGTTGTGCTTGTGAGCGTCTCAGTACCAAAACCCAGTCCTGAGTATTTTACTTCAGTGAGGTTTCAATACCTACCTAGTTAAACATCTAAACATCTTTCAAAGTGCTCTACTAAAGGCATCCCTTTTAAATTAGGATCCTACTGGTTATCTTATAATTAATAATATTAAGTAAAAGTGAGAAACTTGGACTTCCAGCGAAGAGACAATTCGGGGCGGGGGGAGTGTTCCCCTCAGTGTATTTAATATGGTGATTCCTTAGCTCATGGCAAAAGAGACGGTCAGATTTGGTAGAAAAAAATGCAATCATTATACTCAACATACAAGTCCTATAGTACGGAGATGGTGGGATGAGTTATTGCTTTAAATACCAACCTATGCCTGGCTCTTGTGCACAGTGCTTAAAGGCAGAGTGCCAAGGTGCAGATTGGGTGACACGCATGCTGGCGTTGAACAGGCTGATTTTCACACCACCCCCTGGAATGCGCTTCATCTTTGAAAGGGTTTTTTTCAAGCATTTTGTGGTATAAATGTAGGTATTGGTGAATTTGTTTGGAGAAAATATAATGTGTCAGAGCAAAGGTTTGTTTACTTGAAAAACCTCGATGTAAAATACAGTCTTATTATTGTACAAGTGGGGGATCTTGTTTTTTTGTAGGTGCCATTTTCAATTCTGAAATCTTTAATCCTTTTTATTCATTTAATATCAAAACTTCTGTCATTTGGAGGTTTTTTCCACTAGCAGTTTTTCTCCTGATTGAATCATTAACCTCAACATCTTTCGTATAGAATATTAATGGTTTTTTTCCATCAGCTGGAATAATTAATGTAAGAACACTTTGTCTAATGAGTTATAACAGCGCAGTTCAAAATGCAGTCTTTCATTTGCGGTATCATTGTATTAGCTGGATCCTTCCAGTCTGTTGCAATGAAATATGAAATACCAGGTTGTAAGAGCTGATGCAGTAGCGATTCCAGGATTAGTTTATACCTGACAAGGACACAATAGAAAATTCAGTTCTGTTCTGCAATACAGTTTAAAAGAAGGTTGGGATACTCTAAGTTGACAGGGAATGAGAGAGCTGTCTCCTTTATACAATAGTGCTGTCATTAGGAATATATCTAAACATAGCCCAGTCTCCTCTGAGTTAGGCTTGTAGCCTCTCTTTAGGGAGTTTCAGGAGGTGAGTTCTTTTATGCTTTCCTGTACAAATATCCTTAGATTAAAATGTTG